AATTGTAGTTGAGAACGTCTGTTACAACGGCTCACGTATTAAAAAATAGTCGGGTTTAAATCGGGCTCGGGCTCATAATTACAGTTAATGTGTCGGACCGAGTCAGGCTCGCACACAAGGTGCACGGGCTCGGGTAGGGTCGGGTTTAATTTTTTGGGCCCGATCTAAGCTCTAAAGGTATGTAACACTTCTCACAACCACATTCCAGAACCTCACCCATAGGTGCCCATCTGCATGCTTGTGGGCGGGGTTACGGTAAGCTTCCAATCACCACCAGGTTCAATATTAGGGGAATCAATAAAATGAAAGTGCACAGTAACCCACCCCCCCATGGGTCTGCAAGCTCCACCCCCCACTAGCATTAGCTCACATTCACCCACCAAGGGATGTTTAGGCAGGAAATGAATGCAGAGTCTGGCGGTACCTTCAAGAGGTCAGTGAGTCGCGTGAGCATGTCGGTGGTGATGGACGGGATGTCATTCACGCACTGGCAGTACTCCAGGAAGATCCGGATCAGCAGCAGCACCGTCCTAACGAGGAGGGGGGGGGGGGGAGCATGGAAGACACCGGCTGGTGTGTCGGGCTGAAGGAACCGCGCACGTTATCCAAACGACGAATGCCCAGACGCCCGCTCACCCCACGACGGCATATTTCTGTCCATCCACACACAGGTACTCGCTGGGCTTCCGCTCCTCGGGGCCTGAGGGGGCAAGGGGAGAACATCACAGCGTCACCGACACCCGAGACCGCCCTTCCTGGTGGGGGGGGTCCGATTCAACCAAACCGCGATAGCTTTGACCTCCGCTAACCAGCGCCTCTTCCGAAAGCTCGTGAACAAGGTGCCGCAGGTCACCCCGCTGCGTTCACGAGCTCTGCATGTGCCGGCGAGCAGGATCATACCGGCTGGCTTCTTCTCCGGAAGTGTGATCCTGCCGTCGGCGATGGAGTCGACGAGGTCCTGGAATTCTGTGGGAACCTCCGCCTGCTTCCAGCGCTCGTTATCCAGCAGCAGGCTGGCAGGGGGACAGGAATGTCACGCGCGTCTGGGCCGGCCAGATGCCGGGTCGCACTGCACCCCATGTATCCTCCCCCCCCCAGCTCCCGCCACCCCACACCTGAGCTTGGTCTTGCGTTCTTCATGGAAGCGGTGCACGAAGCGGTTCGCCTGGCTCTGCAGCGCCCCCCGCAGGGACATGCTGCGGCGCTGGCACAGCTGCTCCGTCTCACGCACAAAGTTCTCCACCTCCTGGGACAGGCACACGAACTCGGAGGAGCTCAGCCGCTCCAAGGACCCATCCTGTAGGGGTCAGAGCAAGAGCTTTGAAAGTCACAGATCTGGAGATACCAGGACTAGGGATGGCGAAAACTAAAAAATTTCTTGACCGACCACCGAGCCTCAGTAGCCGGTTGAAACCGGTTAACCGATTAGTTTAAAATATGGTACGCTATTTGAAATAACAGCCATTTCGAGCCGCGCCTGCAATTTCGCAACTCTGTCGCATCTCTCTGCCGCTCTGCCTCCCGCACACACACACACACACTGCCACTCACGTCACTTTTTTTAAATCCCCTACAGCGCGAAACATGAGTCCCACAAACGCGGCGCCGAAGAGCTTGTTGTATGTAATCGTAGGACAAATGGCTCCTTAGTTTCAAATGGTTTGGGTACAAGGTGATCGCTTTGAAAATAAAGGCGTTTGTCTAGGTTAGAAGCTCATTTGAAACATTGCCACGGCTCATTTAAGAAAATGACAGCTCCGAAGAGACGCCGCTTTAGTTGAGGTAGTGCTAACCATAATAAAGAAAGATGATGATCATCATCACCTTATCGGTTAACACTGAAATGTAGATGTAATGTATTTCCAAATCTAAGCCCATCTTATGCGGAATGTTGCCTAATAGACTGCAACATGATAAAACCAATGGATAAAACAGGCACCTTCAGAATGCGTAAAAGACGCACCGGCCAAGGCAGGTCTAACTCACTGTGTGCCTTCTAATAACGGACAGGACAACTCTGTTGTATAATTAATATTATTTTTTTATTTTTCAAAAAGACAAGTGTCAACTTCTGTTAAGGGCAACATCTCCTAAACCATAACAGACAAAAACCTACAGCTATTCTTAAGAATAACATTAAATAAACGAAAAATTATTAGAATCTATGAATGAGAATACTGTAGCCAACAAACAGCTCACAGACAGGTGTTAAGGGTGCTAATTATTAAAACATAACACAACGATTTGGCCATTAGTTATTCTTGGAAAATAAATTAACGAAAAATAAGTTAAAGTTAAATTTCGCAAACCTTGTGAGCGCGCGAACCCAAACGCTGTGACCTCGCGCCAAATGTTTTTATTGGTTTATTAAGTACAAACAGGCGAGTTATGAAAAATTGAGTGTGAGGGATAATTTGTTCACTTAACACAAAAAGATGAGGAATGAGATGGCTAACTGTAGTAGCGTATAGTCCACTGTCTATAATAGCCTAATTTAGATATCACTTTTTTTTTTAACCGACTACCGACAACTTTGACCGGTTAACGTTGATACGGTCAACCACCGGTCAAACGGTCATCGGTTAACATCCCTAACCAGGACTGATGATGCATGCACTGCAGAGTATGCTGGCAAATCACCAGCCTCCCTCAGTTATGATATCATCCCCCCCCACCATTTCATTGAGCACATACACATATTTTCAGGGACAGCGCCGTGTGACGTGCAGGAAGATCCACCAGACCAGCAAAGTGCAGCAGAGCGTAGGGACACCGGCTGTCAATGTCGGCCCTGGGAGAGGAAACTCCCTCTCTACTGTGCGCTCATGCACATATGCAAAAACAAACTGCTGCTTGGGGTCATCACCTCATCCATAGCGCCACACCCCCCACGTAACAGCACACTCGAGGCAGAGGAACTAAACATTACTCAAGACTGCAGCGGAAGGTTCCAGGAATGGCCCCAGTTCCAAGAGAAGCTCAGCGCCCAAAGGAGCGAGAGGTCCAGTTGGTAGGAACGCCAAGACTCTAACAGCAGACATGACCGACTGCGCCATGCTGCACGTAACCTCCGACGGCGCCTCGGAGTCCGAGCTCGGGAGCTGTGCAGGATGCAGTTATGCGGACATATGCTCCGTGCCGAGGAGGCCAGCGGCATTTGGGAGTCTGATTATTGTTGGAGAACACTTTTAAGACGGCTTCCTGAAGCGCTTCGGGCCACCGCAGCAGCGGAATATAGGAGACGAGGCCTTCGAGAGCCCGCCTGAGCTGGGATGCCCTACCTTCGCCCGGGCCATGAGGAATTTGACGCAGCGGTCGTGGCTGGCATCAGAGGCCGTGCACAGGAGCTCCTGTATGTTATTGGCCACGCGGCCCAGCTCCAGGTCCGTCGGCATCATGTCCTCGTTCACCCTGCGGGGACACCGGGAACCCGGTTTGAGACGAGAGCAGGAAAAGCGGCCTGCTGCATTCACACCCAGTACTCCTATACCCGACAGCTACAGGGGGCGCCAGGGGGAGATCGTCTAACACAGAGGAGTGTGGTTGGAATCACTTTGTGAGGAGAGGAGCTTAGGTGATTCACCAGCACCCCCCTATAGGCTGGACAGGCATATGACAATTACCAACAGCAAGATGCATGTTAATCTTGTATCAGTCTGTCGTGTGAAAAAGTCAGGCCAGCTAAGACGTAAAAGTCACAGGTGAAAGTCGGCTTATATCGCAGCCAGCCCTCAACTTACTGCCCACTTGTAAAGCAACTGGGGCTTAACCCTCTGGGGTCTAGGGGTAGGAAACACACTTTCACTGACTGGGGCATGATCACACATTTCTTCAAATATCACAAACTTAATTCATGGCAAATAAATTATTTCTTATATATTTGTTTTGCCATTACACTCGTCTTTATTTTAATATATATTGTAAATATGTCAGATTTTTGTTAAGTTTGAAATTTGACATCAAAGTATAGACATTGCAAAATGCAGTTTGGAACACTTGCAGAAACATTATAAAAAGTACATAGTAAGCAATGCTGGCAGTTTGTTTTGATCCCAGATATCTGATCACCAAAGTCTTGGCTACATGAAGATGACTAAATGGTGTAGATGCAACATTCATTTGGATAAATAAATAAGAAAAACCTAACTCATGTCACTATTTCTGGCTCCTTTCATTGAATATGTAGCAACTTTCATGTGTATGAATGAGCCATTGTCACCTGGCCACGTCCCCAACCCCCTTTTATGGCGCTGAAGGGGATGTATCTGGATCGCGTTTCACCGTTGCGCTGTTAATCAAATTACCATGCGAAAGCGATTTGAATACGCGCTAATGCGGCTATTTAGAATGTGAATAGCAATCTTCGGGTGAGAGCGGTACTACACGCCCCCGATGCAGGTAAAACAAAGTAAGATGACATGTTTTTTTGCCGATTTAACCTAATTAAAAAAACTGTAATACTTCCGACAATGGACGTTTTGAAAAGAAGACAGATTACGGATTTAGCCAGCGTTTTTTCATGATTCTACATTAAGATTTCAGCGAGATATAAACTGAAATAGACGCGAAAAGTACGCGATGTCGCCGACGACATACTCGACCCCAGAGAGTTAATGTTGCTCACACCTGTAATTTTCTGCATGACCACTAGGTGGCTGATTTCTGAGTGGTATGCTGGTACTCAGGTGATCCTAGTGGTGGCCCCAGGTAATGAAGGGCTGTTGGTTCAGCCCAAGGGAAGAGCAGGGCGGTACATACACTGCACCAGACGCCCGCACCAATGGCGGGGTGGCTTGCTCACGGCTGGACGACGACTCTGTGGTTCCAGAGGCGGAGTCTGGGCCTGGTGTGGCCCCGCCTAGCTGCTGGTCTGGCTCACTGAAGGCATCGCTGATGAACATGCCCTCGTGGGTCAGGTAGGCTAGCTCTGAATCCCTGGATGGGGGGGCCTCGGGGCTTGCCCGACCCACCCCCACCGCCGCCGCCGCTGCCTCTGCCAGCCGGATCCTCTGGTTGCCATCCATCACCTCCAGCACCACATTTCTGATCACACTTAATGTTGCCTAGGAAACAATTCATCAGTTATCATATAGCTAAACACAGCTAACCAAAACACCAAGATCCGATGGTTCACTCAAATTATGCTGATAATCTGTAATGAGCTTCTTTGTATCAAATTAGAAAAGAATGCATAGATATGCAAAAATGAATAGAAGCATTTTCACTAGTGATCTGAGACGTTGGGACAGCACTCGATGTTCTAATCACATATGGCACAAGGGTTTCAAGTTTCAAGGCTCTGAGATGTTAAGCACCTGCTGAAAGGTAGCAGGCTGTCACTGTATGGACTCTTCCAATAAAACAATACAAACAACTAAAACGTTAATACAGAGAAAGTGGCAGGCTCAGACTCACAGACATTAACGGTGTGGAACCTGGGACTCTCTTACCTTGATCCTCTTCAGGAAGAGGATGAAACTTGAGAAGACACTCTTAAGAAGGTCGAACCACTGAGGGAAGGTCATGAGCCTCATCTGGTCAGCCAGCCTTTGGGAGTCAGGGAGAAGATCACATGCTCAGATGGACACGGGCCAGCAGCGCAGAAGCGCCGAGGAAACGTTCCCTAAACATTCTCCATTCAACAACACCGCCTTTCATTCTTTACTCCACCTACGAATGGTTCCGTGTGATGACTGCGTTGATAAATTTGTTTACTGTTAATAATGTAAGGGGCTAATCTAGCACGTTACCGCTGACTTGCATAGATAAGCAGACCAATGTCCCATCTGCACATGTCATCATAAACAGATGAATTTAGAAAGACATGCAAACGAGGACTCCTGTTGTGACCCTGTTATTAACAGGCATCCTGGGTGATCCGATGACAAGTGGATATATATATATATATATACTGGGCTGTCCAGTGACTGGAATTCAGAGTCAGAAATTCAGCCTCACTCCGGTCCTGACTACTTCATTTCTTTTACTTAAATTTGCTCCAAATCAGACATATAATTTGCATTGTTAAATATTTTACAGTGATGACTGTTGCTTCCGAAAAGGTTGTCTTTTCGATTTAGTATCCATTAATGATGATTAAATCCATTAATGACTGAATGAAAATCACGATGTTATTACGAGATACAACTTATGTATTATTCATAGACGATAAACATTATTAAGAAATACAATACCCTTTATGGAATTATTTAAAAATAAAAGGACACATTGATTATTTAGTTTACTTTGAGTATTATAGCGGTCACTACAAAGATCTTAGGTGGTGTGTTTCCCTGGAGTGCGGCAGTAGTTTTTGATTTCTTCTTCTTCTGCTTGGCACATTCTGCATCCGGAAGTGATTTACGTGCCTATTTAAAAAAGTTGCGGGAAAGTGAGATCTGATTACAAGTGGCCAGGCGAGACGCATGCGGAGATGCATGTTAATGAACAGGCGTATTTAGCGCTGCCCACTTGAGAAAGGATCACCCAGGACGCACGTCAATACTGGGTGTGAACAGGACCTAAGTAGCTCTACAGACTTTGACCTCTCAGATTCGGTGGCTGTTAAATGCTGACCGTAATTTCAGAAGGACAAAATTTCACAAAAGAACAAAACAGTTAAAACAGCAATAATGCAATAAACGACGGACCTACCGCTGTTATCCCATAAACACTCATCACCAACCTGGTAACGACTTAAACTGTGAGAGAAGCTAAAGCTACAAGCAGCCCCCCTACACTGTAAATAGTCCGTGTACTGGGTCACTGGTTCAGGCGACCTCATAAAAACAAGTTTATGGGAGCCTCTGATCGCAGGATAAGAAAGGCTTTCAGCATCACTCCACTTTGCTGCTCCAGGTCACAGCACGCTGAGCTCAGACATACCAAGGCACGCCTGGAAGATTCCCACAGAACACAAACCGGCACTTACTTCACGACAACCTCCGTGTCAATTTCTTCGATGTGCGACACCATGTTGACGACGCACTGTGGAGTACAGAAACACAGACGGGATCATTTAGCTTTCAGAATCCTTCAGAAACACTACGCTGCTGAGAATGCGATTTGTTGAATCTGTTCTACGTTCTGCGAAACACTAGTATAATATGCATGTAAACTATGACACCAGAAACTAAAGCATACAAAAGTAATAAACTGAGAAATAGAGTGGTACCTCAGTTCTCAAACTCATTAGAACTCGAATTTCTTAGAAGTCGAACCAACCAGTTCGGACTAATACAGAGGACTAATGACAACAACCAGAAACAGCTGATCACACAGGGATTCCACACGGGGTTAACGAGGGGGCGTGGCACTCGGAAGGAGCGGACAATCGGGGCAGGACACATTGTTTGGATACATTTATTTTCTTACTTTACAAATTACTGTTTTGATAAATATGCTTAGATGTCTTTAGTACAGTATATGCTCTTGTTTTATCCTGTTCATTTTGTGTTTAAATGCTACAAAAAACATATTTAGGTGTAATTTTTTGGGGCCGGGAACCAATTAATTGGTTTTCCATTATTTCTTATGGGGAAAATTTGATCAGAACTCGAACTTTTTAGGATTCGAACCTAAGTTCTGAGCGGATTAAGTCTGAGTTCTGAGGTACCACTGTATATGTAGGAAGAACATTATAAATCAGGCACCCCAACCCCTCCAATCCCACCCAACCTGGACCAGTCCCTCCTAGACCAGCCTCACCTGCTTCACGATGCCCTTGGCAGCTTGAATCATCTCCTCATCGTAGATGTCTAGGAAATCCAGCTTCCTCTGCCGCAGCAGGCCAAACACCAGGGACTGCAGCCTGTCCTGTTTCAGGCACAGGATGGTCCGGCTCATTACCACAGTGTCAAAATATCTATATTTCTGATATAGTCAGCAAGGCAGGACCCCAGGGTGTCTACACAGCTGCCTGTTGTCTTATGGGTACTGGCACTCATTCTTCTGGCAGAAGTTTTATCTTTCAATACATTTTTTTCCGTTATTGTTTTTTTCATTTTGTTTTCTGGATAAAGAATGAAGCTGAAGAGCCTCTTCACCATACCAATCCATATCAGTGGAGGCAGTGCTTGCAGTGTGTCAGCACCCTGTAATGTCTATTGATGAATCTCCAGCATTTACAGGAGAGGAGGGATAGTGTTAGATAGAGTAATGATTCTGGCAGTCCGGTGATAAATTGAGTGAATCACGCTGCATTCGTTCCTCCATTACACAGCAAACCCAAAGCATCACAGGCTCAGCCAGATCAGGGCTGAAAAAACTACTACTACACCACTAAAACTGGTCTGACTTGTACCCCTAAAGCAGGGCTCCCCAATTCTAGTCCTGGAGAGCCAGTTTGTAGCATTTTGCAGGTTTCCCTGCTCAGACATACACTATCAGAAAATGAGAGTACTCATTTGTACCTTTGCTTGTCACTGGGGCTGTACCCTCAAGGTTCTGCCAATTGTACCCTTAGCTGTAGGTAATCATACCTTTTAACGTACAGAATCGAACTATGAGGAACATTTTTGTACCATTTGGGGGGTACATTAACGTTGCTTGTACTTTGGGGAGGTTCCTCAGAGTCCATTTCTGTACCTTAAAAAGTACGATTACCTACAGCTAGGGTATAATTGGCAGACCCTCGAGGGTACAGTCCCAGCGACAAGCAAAGGTACAAACTGGTACTCTTTTTCTGACAGTGCACCCATTTAGCCTGGTAATTAGCTGTTAAAGATACATTTGAGCTGGGAAATCTGTAAAATGTGTTGGATTCTGTCTCTCCAGGAGCAAAAGCCGGAACCCTACCGAGGGCTAATGAGTGAAGATGAGAGACACACACCCTCTCTAGGACCTGGATGTCCTCCTCCAGGGGGCGTCCGAGGTCACTCCGGGCGTAGGTGGTGAAGTCGGCGATCATCATCTTGTCGATGAGCTTCTCCATCTCACAGAGCTGGGAACCCAGGTGCCTGCGGGGGGGAAGCATGGCAGCGGGGGTTGAGGACAGCGACGGAGGGGCGCTGCACACGGCCAGACACCTGTGCGCGGAGCATGCGGCCGCAGGGGTGTCACATTCAAGAGTTTAAAGAAAAGTTAAAGAAAATGTATGCAGTGATGCATTTCACTGTGAGAAAAAAAATCTGCTGGACCCTGAGGTCAATCCTCCTAAAAGACTGATCACTAGCACAGCCACTTAAAATGATTGAAATGATAAAGGAAAAACCTTTAACTGCTCAACTGCTGGTTTTAAAAATATATCAGAATCAGGTGGAAAGTTTCAAATTTAACTTCTGCTAGAGGTGAGACTCTGACTACCACTTTAATGAAGTCAGTAAGGGTGTAAAACCCATAAAGTGTTTGTGTGTGAGCACCAGGGTTACCATCATTAATGGGGACTTAATCGAGAAGTATAATCATATACTTTGTTTCCATTTTTTAATACTAGTTAGCTAAAGTAACGATTTGTTTCTTTAATCATTAATTTGCTTATCTTTACTATTAATAAAACCTGGAACACTGTACCTGGAGCACTGTGTATTCGTGCAAGATTCGTTAAAGATCAGACATAAAGTAGCAGTCTATTCCTAAACATGAAATTAAAACAAACTAAAATGTATAAAAATTAAATAGAAATGTATCTTTAAAATAAAAATAGTATTGAAAACTAAAACTGGACTTCAAAGAAAAATTGACGATAATATAAAAATAAAAACGAAATTTAAAAATGACACTCGAATGAGAGCGCCTAGACGGAGGCCCCCGCTCACCTGAAGCTGTGCACTCCTTGCAGCTCCTGCTGCAGCACCTCCTGCGTCGTGGTGATGAGCTCCAGGGCTCCCACGAACTCTGAGGTGGACAGCAGCAGCTGCACGGTGGGCTGCGTCTGGTGCACGGCTGCCATCAGCTTCAGCTTGCTGTGCAGCTTGGCGCAGTTGTTGCGCGCCAGGCCCAGGCGCAGCGCCTGCAGCGGGCCCTCGACCATGACGCGCTCCATGGCGGCCGTGCGCTCCCGTAGCACTGCCACCGCCCACGCAGTCTCACACAGTCGGTCCTGCAGCTCGTGCTGCGAGGACATGGCATGGAAGAAAGCCTCGGAGCGCAGGGAGATCTGGTGGGCAATGCTGACCTCCACTACATCCAGGTAGTGACTCAGCTGTGGGGGGGGGGCAGGGGGGCACGCAGCCTTAAATCTCAGCAGCCTCACAAATAATTAATAATAATTATAATGGTTAATATTCTTATTATTGTTATTTATTATTGTTGTTCTTGTTTTGTTGTTGTTGTTGCAGCAACAAACACAAACATCAGCAACAATAAATAATTAATTTTCCAACCAATGCATACACTTACAAGTTAACCAGCAATAAATTATTGATTTTTATGGCAAAAATGTTAGAATTAAATACATCTTTGAAGAAGAATGTACAAATGTCCACTTGTTGGAATATGGAAGGCTAAAAACCAAAGTAGGGATGGGTTGATCCACATTTTTTCAGTTCTAATCTGATTCCGATACACACACTTTATATATTATTCTTTTTTTTTTTTTTTGAGGCATTTGCAGCTCAATCTGAATATCTTCCAAGAAAGTATACACAAGTCGTGTATCACAAGCTGTAGCGAGTCCGCAAAACAGCCCAAGCTATAGCGACTCCCAAATCATCCATTGCTGTTTTCATATTACACGCGTTGTATTGCACAATTACGTGCACTTTTAGTGGGATTTTCCGCTAAACGCTGCTTCCACCTCTCAAACCTTTGTTTTTACAAATATTACAAATCGCCGTGCTACAAGTTGCTGTTAAAAGCATAAAATACTTCCATATTGTCACCCTCTTATTTGCTATCCTTACGCTCCCTGTACTACAAAGGGTATGCGCATGACGTCACAGCAGGCGGAGGTCACTGCGCTCACACCTTCTCAATGCGTTAGCGTTCAGCTTGAATGCTGCAAAATACGCATCTAAAACGTGAAGGAGCTGTCGTGCGATTGATTGCACAAATCGATTTAACAAGATATAGGAGCTATCTCTTTATGGACTGCCGAAAATAATATAAGTAAATATCAGATGTGGATCGGTCAAATATGGCCAATACCCGATCCATCTAATAGGTACAAATCTGTGCTGATACTGATCGCGGTTACACCTCAGCTACCGTGATTTTCACTGGGCAACCATTCCACTTAACGACCTAGTAATTGGAAATTGGTAGCTAAACAAGGAGTGGTTGTATTATCAACATTTCACTGCATTGCCACCTGCTGACCAAAGTGACAAACAGCCCGATATCCTACCGGAGACAATCCGGTGAAGCCCGTTTCTCAAAGGTACAACAGCTAGTCCTCGCACAGAGCGGGCACGAGGCCGCCGCGAGTCGCTTAGCACTCGCTATTTTCTGTTTCTGTTTCTTACAGCCGACGGAAGGGGTGGTAAATGCAGCTTCACCTTTTCCTGCAGTAACCGCGAGGATGCGATGTCGCGGTTGGCTTTGCCTCCCGTTACGCTGAAGTGGGTCCAGGGCAGGACTGCATTAAAGGTTGCAGAATCGTCCAGCGCGAAGTCAGGCCTCATGAAGATCTGTCAGGAATGGGCAGGGGGGAGGGGGAGAGGTCAGGGAAGCAGGAGCTAAGGGACCAAACTGAACATTTAGGGAAGTAACAAGACGTGAAACTGAAAAGGTCCAGTGGGCTATCAGCCTACCTTAGGGACCTGCTCCAACTCCGCCCTGGATTTGTCTGTGGGGAAAAGAGCAAAGGCAGCGCGGTATGACCAACAGCACCAAGAACTAGTCAAGAGCGGGGCGTGGCTAACCAAGCACTGCACAAGCGCTCTGACGGCCTGCATCATAGCAACAAGCCTCCGCCAGAGCAATGCTAGGGAGCTACGAGCTTCACTAAGCTGTCACAGCTCTAAATGACATGATAAAGCGTGTAAAGGGATGGTCCTCGCGTGCAACAAGGCGTACCGTGATTGGTCGTGAGGCTGGAGCCCGGCGTGACTTCATCTTTTGAAGGGTAGATTTTTTTACAGCTTTCATGGGTTTTCTCTCTCTGAGATGACGGATAATAACAATGATCATTACTGCACAGAGAGCCGCATATCCGATTCAGGGTACAGAAACAAGCACACGGTTTGCGTGTCACCTGCGTCATCTCCTGCAGGTAGGCCGTGAAGTGCTCCTCTGTGATGTTGGGGAGGTAGATGGAAGGCAAAACTTCCGTTTCCACAAAGTCCAGGCCCCAGCTCTTGGTGAAGAAGTCGGACTCCCGTTTGGCCAGGCGCGGGTCGTTCAGTGCCGCTGGGAGGTTTACCTTGGAGTTGTAGACGGTCCATCTGTGCTGGTCCGCCACCACCGAAGGACCCTCGCACAGCCCCCGGAGCTCTACAGGTGGGGGGTTAGGGCATGTACGAGTCAGTAAGCTTCAGTCCAATTCAACTGCAATTCACAAGTCCCCTGTATCTGTGAGTGAAATGTTAGAAGACCTACTGTGGATAGCCAAAACCACAAATAACAGAGTCATCCACAGACCCCCATATATAGCGTGATTTTCATGAACACACAAAGTAACTGACAAACTACACATAGGAAGACATTGCCAACATTAAATACAGCAGTAATAAACTATAATGTACATTATTATACAGTACTGTACACTCTCAAACGAAAGAGATTCTGATGTTTTAGCCTAATTCTCAAGAGTCGATAGAGCAGTGAAAAAATATCATGTATCAAAGGATGATGGAGCAATGAAAAAAGGTACATTTTACAAAATTTTCGTTTTTGGGCCGCAGCAAACTGCAGATTACAGACACCACAGTGCCTGAGACCACGCATACGGGGGACCACGCTTTTAAACTCACTCTTTGGTTAACCATCCTCCTTGCTGCGTTTAAAGTAACTTTATCTAGGGAGTATTTTATTTTTTCTACCGATAAAGCTTGGGGGGGGGGGGCGCTTTTTGAAATGGCAGAAGGAGTAATGAGTGTCTCACCGGTAGGTTCCATGGGGCAAACATCGGGCAGCGAGCGAGCTAGCTTATACTGCCGGGACGCGGAGTCCCGCTCCTTCCTGAAGACGGCGTCACTGCCGTCGCTGGGACGAGGCACTGGGGGGGAGCTGTGGCTGGTCGCCATGGCATGGGGCTGCCTTGGCGTGGAGGCTAGCTGGACGGCCAGGAGGCGAGCACACAGAAAGGCGGCAACGACATGAATGCAACAGAGAGAGAGAGATAGAGAGAGAGAGAGAGAGAGAGAGAACAAAGGCAGCTGAAAAAATCCCCATGAAACAGGCAGAGGTGGTTCTGTGTAAATGCAGGTGTTTTCGTTTTCCTCTTACACTTAGAAAGCATAATGAATAACACTTTTCTATTTGTTGAAAGTAGAGACGTATTAAACAGTATCTCACAGAGAAATGGCTGGTACCATTTTTTAAGGCTGATAACATTTGTAATATTAAGTTCAAATAACATCACAATTTTTTTGCATTATGAACATTTCACAATGAGAGGCAGGCTGAAACAGACATCGTGAAACAACTATGGACTGAAATTGAAACAGATGTGTCAAAATATTTTAGGGTTGTTTCACTTACACTTTCATATTTACGCTGGCTATTCTGGGAGTGTGCTCACGGTCACAATTAATGAATATAAAAACAAATCCACCAGAAAACAGCTCAAAAGGCAACACGTGCAAACCTTAAATATTTCAAACTATCAAACAAAATTTCTGCCCTAGTGGCTGAATAATCAAAATGTCATGTTAAATGCAACAGTGAAGTTTTGGTTCTCTTATTTGTAGCCATAACATATTTCATAAATTGTAAGGCACTTAGAAAGAACTGAAAGTAGCAAAGGTGTATTCTCCACAAAATATACTGACTGTACAACAGACTTCATACTATAATTACCCTAAAAGATTACAAGCAATCAGGTGAGCCAACAAACAACCTGTTCTGTAAACATCAAAAAACCCTCAAACTGTCGCAGTTCACCCAAACCCCGCAATAACGTCAATATTCTTTTACAAAAAAAGCTTTTGATCGATGTATTTTGTAGTCAACAAATTCTTAAAATGCTGATTAGGGAGGGGGAACCTGCTTGACAGCATACGTTCCCTCTACTAGCAACCGCAGCCGCACTGCTGCTCCCGTAGTTCTTTTATAACATGGGCGTTTCGCGCCAACGTGTCAAATCAATGCAGCGATTATCAGCGTCAAGGCCGCGAGCACATGCACGTTTACTTTGAAGGGGTCACGTGTCACAACACGCCACGTGACCAAAGCACTACAACTGTAATATTAAATGGGTGGGATATAAATGACAGGCGTAGACGGGCGACGGAATAACCTGCTATTTCAACGATATTCGTTTACGGTAAAATTATGGGGCAGCGGAAGCAATCCACGAACTTATTGAATAGACGCAAACGACAATAATTTCCCCACAGAACTATTAAAACTACATCTCCGATTTTACTTTACACGCGTGGAAAACAGTTTGTTACAGTACTAATGAACTGCAGCCTGGAGGATGAGAGAAGCTGTAAGTACAGTCACTTCCCTGTGCGGATTCCCTTTATTCCGGAATATCTAGACTCTATTCTATTTCCTTAAGTTGACTTATCTTTCACTTTGCACTTAGACAGGAACCTTGCGTACGTTTAAACTGCAAAGTAAAAACATAACATGCGTTGCACAGCATCCCCAAGCACATCAAAGAAAAAAAAATATTTTCCTTAAAACGTTAAGTGTATAACCAGCATTCGTGGTGTATTAACGCACGCACTCCTTCAATAACAGACTAACAAAGATGTCTAAGGGAATTTAATATTTTGTATATTTTAATAGTTTATATGAGGCTATAATTGCTGCCCAAATAGCTGCAGCTCTCCAAATAGGACAGTATTACACAAAAAAAAAATACATCACACCCCCCCCGGACAGCTCCCCCAGCGCGGCTGGGAAACTCGGCGGAGTCCGTTCGTTTAAGCCAGCCGTCGGATGTGTTTCACCGCTGCGGCTCCCCAGCAACCCCGTACGGCCCCCGCACCACATCACTGCAGCGGATATCCCGAAAGAGCAGCGGCATTACGTGCAGCTAAGCGGCCAGGCAGGCTGCACGGCGGCGGCTTTCTGCGGACAGCGGCCTAGCCTCCTTCCCCATGGACATCCCGTACACGTAGCGAATGTCGGTCCGACCGGTCGGACAGAGGAGCGCTCACGCCACCCTGCTAACGGCCCGGCGGCCTGACAGCGCTACACCGGCCGCGGCGTCGCGTCGAAGGCGTGCTGCCAGCCCCACAGCTCCCTGGAGATGACTGCAGCCGTACCTGTCGTAACAAACACAGCTGCTCCGCGTCCCACAGGCTGCCGCATCCACCATCACATTCATTAGACAACAGCTGGTGACGACACAGATAGAGAGGAGACTCCCAGAATGCACCGCTCGGGAGCCTTAAAGGGCCAGGCTGACAGGAAGTGGAGTCACAGCACACGGTTGGGGAACTTGGGGCTGGTAGCAGGGCATTCACCCCAAGGCCGCCCCCTTACATCGTGTTATGATCGTTTTTCTACGGCAGGCAGAACAATACACACTTGCAATTTAAGGATGACTGCAGCACTCAACATATTTTAATAAACGGATAAGAATCTAAGTAGTTTGGTGCCGCCACAATACAATGTAGGTTTATGATGATGTGTGTTATACGCTTGTGTCGTAGGCAGTGGCCCTTGGTGTTACAGGTGGACACGTTTAATAGCGCTACGTGGTTTAAGGGACCAGGGTCATAGTATCAAATCCAACAAACTACTATCGGTTTTATCTGGGCAACCCAAATTACCTTGTCATATGCCTCACTTACAAGCAAAGCATTATACAAATAAAATATGAAAGGCATAACTGATGATTTGAAAAATTATTTTATTCTTAAAGAACACGCGCAGGACAGTTCATGGATCTTGGTGGAAGAGGTGTTCTGCCGCCAGATGTCGCTGTTGCAACGTGAATCCCATGGGTCAGACTACGTATATAATGAAGTCCAGTACAGTACAACAGTACAGTGTACAATGAGAAAGTTAACATTCAAAAAGTAAAATGCATTTCAGAATAAAACCTGCGCTGTCAGAGTCAGTATAAATTAAATTAATTAGTTAATTCATTAAATAAATTCAGTTTTCAGCTAACTTGTGTTAAGTAGCCTATGCGAGAGAATAGAGAAACAGGATATGGTATGACCTAACAGCCACTGGTACAGGAGGCTTTGCTATGACAGAAGCACATCCCCACAGTCCATGCGACCCTGAATACAGTGGATAAAGACATTGTCTGAAAAACGGTTTTTACTTTTAAGCGCAGTAATATCAGAACACTGAGCGAGGTTAAGAGGCAAGACACATTCTGGACACATGATCAATGTTCAATTTCCTTTTATTGTTTAAATCTGGTACAAAAACCATTAACAATATGAATTTTACCTGAAAGCATCAGGGAATTCCAAAACACAGTGGACAAACTTAATGCTTCTGTGGACAGACCATGCATGTGAATGCTCTGACATTTTATAAAAACAAAACAAAAAAGCCCTTTCTTACACTTTCCCCAGAGTGAGTGTGTGAGTGAGTAAGAGAGAGAGTGAGAGAGAGAGAGAGAGTGATAAGACCATTGCTAAGCTTAAATGCATTTAATGCTGGCTCAAGTTCCAGACACACCAAAAGAGAAAGGTAAATTAACCTTTATTATGTTACTAACTTCTCATATTCCCACTGGGTGACGAATGAACAGGTGACTATCGCAGGACATGTGACCACGATGAGGCAGCTCCCTGAGGTTACAATGCACCACACCCTAATACAGTATATTCCAAGGTGGTCATCCACATGCACACACATTCACACAGTGCTGAGATCCACATTGGTCCAACCGCACAGAACAGAACAAAAGCAAAAGCCCAAAAGTCATGGAAACACCAAAAAAAAGGATGAATTTGTGAGACTTGCCAAATCTCCCACCCGATCCCCTACAACTATGAGGACACTAAACGCTATATTTAATATATATATGAACCCTTTCATCCCTTTGAACCGTTTTGCATTATGAACATTTCACAATGAGAGGCTGGCTGAAAAAGACATCGTTTAAGAGGCACTGCTACCCTTCAAGGGGCGACCGGAAAAGAAAGGGGGAAAAAAATAAATAATAAAATAAAGGCAGGCATTTTGAGGTGTGTCCACCAGAGGGCGATCATGCCCGGCTGCAAGTGTGTTCATTAAAGATGCCTGCATGGGCTCTAATGTGGAGCACGGCATTGTCTGCAATAGGCAGGGAAGACTAAGTCACTTCGAACACACGGAAGCCCCCCACCCCACCCCAAACTGGGCTTGTTGTCTTGGGCCTGCGGTTAATACAAGCAAAGCAATAGGGGAGACACGCTTTGTTGAACGTGGCCTTATTGCATGAGTTTAAGTGACCCCCCCCCTCCACCCACACCCCCTCCCCCCCCCGAAGAAAAAAATCCTGCTAATCTACAAAATACAATTTCACGGTAATGCATTAAAGGATTAAGTCAAAATGTACAGCATGAAAAGACTTAAAATGAGCAAGCAGAGATGCTTGTGATCCCTTAAAAGACGAAATCGGGTACAAACCGAAGATCCCAGCATCTCACCACCTGCTCCCAGTATACGGTGTTTAAATAAATAAATTACATATAGTGAATCTGTCTAACAATCACTGCCGTGTAACACGTATAAGACTAAACATCCTACGAAGTAGTTTCTGTGTAGTGGTATCTGTATGCTGTGAGTATCTGAGGTGCTTTTTGGAAGATAGGGGATCAAACTGACAAAATGGCTTTGTACAGTTCACAGACGAGTATTGCATTAATTTAAATAAAAAAAAAAAAGGGCTGTTCAACCGGGTACATCGGTAAATAAAATACTGCTTTGATGTCTTTATGCGCGATGGCGGGGAAAGGGAGGCCAGCCTTGCTGGGAGTTCAGGATTGTGGCTTTTCCTCCGTTAAAATTGGACTCTCCTGTAAAACAAAAGCGACAAACCTGATAAAGGTCACTTACAACCGAGAGGCATTTTACGAAAGTCCGTGGGGGCGGGGTCTAGCTTATAGCCAGGCTGAGGGGCGGGGTCTAGTCCACGGGGCCCTGGAATATGAGTCTGACGTAGCCCTGCTCGCCGCTCAGCTGATGGGCGCAGAAGGGGCAGGCGGCGTGGAAGGTGTGGGTGCCATGCGGCAGCGGGATCTGCCCCCAGTACGCCACCGTCTTCTCCGAGCACACGTGGCCGCAGGGGCTAAAGGCGTGGGTGGGCGGGCCGGCATCCAAGTAGAAGCCAGCCTCGCTGCCCAGCCAGAGCGGCACGTAGGGGCCGCGGGCTCGGCACATGGGGCACTCGCGCTCGCCGCCGCCCTCGCCGCCGCCACGCTCCTCCCGCGTACCCCAGTCGTGGTAGCCGTGCACGTGGCCGCAATGCAGGTAGACCCAAGGCTGCTTCTCGTCCACCACCTCCTTGCGGCGCATGCTGGGGAAGGCCAGCGTGTTGAAGCCCACGGGGCACTGGGGCCGCGCCGCGTTGATCTCCAGCCTCAGCGCCTCCAGGTGCTTCAGCGTGGGCGTGCGCGACAGCCCCTCCGCCGTGCGCCACAGCAGCGTGGCGCCGCACAGGTCGATCAGCGAGCCGTCCACCAGCTCCTGGGTCTCGTTCTCCACCTGCGGGTGGGGAGGAGTTGTGAGCGCGGGGGGAGGATTACGGTTAAAAGATTCATAGATCTAGTGTTACTAGATATTCTGCACTCTTCTATATTTGCCAGTAGGGGGCAGTGTTGAGCAGAAATGTCAGCCCTCCCATTTTGGGCCCTACATTTAATCCGACTACCGTGAAACGCTGTTAAAAGTGTCATGTCACCAGTTTTTCAAAATTCTCTAAATTTAAAAAATTCTAAATCTTGGTCAAACACACACGCTCCCTGTGTCCCGCCCCACCCCAGTGGACGCTGGATGGGGTGGGAGACGGTGCTGGGACCCTCCCCCGACCAAAGCAGGCAGGAAGATACTGATCACAATGGAGAGACAAGCAAACCAAACTACAGACGTGCTGCTTCACAGAGCACATGACACTCAGGAGATGCATTCGGGAGACGTCGCCAACAATAAAGTTTCTTCAAGTAGCCCAATAGGAGACCATTTGGCCCACAATGGTCCTTAGGACCGCGGTGAGTGTGCCGGGTCTGAAACCGCACGTGGGAGCCGGACCATCGCTGGAAACGGCATCCTCACAGTCCCTCTGTGCAGGGAGGGGAGCCCACAGTGCATTAATAAGTACAGTAATTAAATAAAATACCCATCAGGACTGATCCAGGAGGAGACTAATAAAAGGTGCCTGAAACCCGGCCAAGTTTAAAGGAGGTATTATTTTGGGCGGCTGTAATACGAGACCCAAGAGGAGATTCTGATCTTCGCACCCCCCCATCCTGACAAGCAGCCGTCCTTAGAGAAACCCCACTTCCAAAAGCCCCCCCCCCTCCCAAGCTGGCACACCTCCACTCCCAATACCGATCCTCGCTACTGCAGGCTGATTGCTTATTATTCTCATAAACGCTTTAAGTACTTTAAGTGCACACTTAACACAAAGATATCGCAGCTGTGATTCAGCACCCCTGCCGGCCCGGCACTGAGGGTCCTCAAAGCCGGAATCACGGATCCTTACGGGGCCGGCTTCGGGATCGCGCCCGGAATTTCCTGCTTCCGGAGGACGCGGCTCCACGTTTTGCCCAGAAGCCCCCCCCCCCCCCGAGACGTCACCACCCTCCCCATCTGAAGTGGAGTTTGCAAAACCGGAGCCCCAGAGCATACAGGCCAACCCCACACCCACCATTTTGCCCCGCTGCTGTGCTGAGCGCGTCTCCCGCAGTGTGAACACGTTGCCGCAGACAGAGATCTCGCGCCACACGCCCGGCTTGGAGTCCTCGGTGAAGCCCGTGCGGGGGTGCATCACCAGCACGCCGTTGGTGGTCAGCCCGTCCATCTGCCCGTCCAACGTCTTCCACTTTGGCGCTTTCTCCTGCAGGGGGCGACGTTGGCATCATTGTGAGAAAAGTTCAGGAACTGGATGACCCCAGCTGTAGGGGTCGTGGGAGCATGGGAGGAGTCCAGAAACACCCCCCCCCCCCCCCCCCCCGGGCACGCACCCCCAAGAAGATGTTCTTGGACGAGTCAAAGCCGGCGGCGTAGATGCGCGCAGTGTAGGGGGGGCTGCGCTGGCACATGACCCGGCAGGCGAAGCGGGAGATGGTGCTCTGCACTGTCTGCGTGTCGCCATTGGTCTGGCTGCCCGGGACCGTGTCCGTCACCACAAAGTCGATGGGGCTCTCCGTGGAGCGGCCAATCTGTGGGGAGCACAGATACACGCGTGTGTGTGTGTGTGTGTGTGTGTGTGTGTGTATGAAAGAGTGAGAGCATGAGAGCTGACAGGGGGGGTACCTGGAACATGTCGGTATTGCCGTCGTGTGTGTACTCCACCACCACCGTCTGGGCCCGCGACAGCGTGTAGGAGATGCTGTGCTGGTCCTTGTTGCTTATGGCCTGTGAGCAGTGAGGAGGATGCTGTCAGAGGGGGGGGGGGCAGGGCAAGCAGCTCACAGAGCCTGACAAATAAGCTGCGAGGCATCCAGCCGGCCTTGGGGAGAACATCACATTCCCCCCCACCCACGGATGTCCCAGCTGCTGCGGGTGGGGATTTTGAAACCGAAATATTGGGGGGGGGGGGGGCATTCATGGGTTAAACTGAATCCAGATGTGGGATGGGAGGGGTTGGTGTCTGACACCCACGCTAAACACACCATCTGCACCCACCCCCACCCCCACCCCCATTGAGACCCATACCTTGGCGGCCTGGGGTGTGCAGGCCACATGCACTGTGCTGGGCTTCACCCCGTTGGCCTTGGGTCGCCTGCAGAGGGCGAAGCGGCTCTTACGCCTCCCCCGGTCCCCATTGGGCAGCGAGCCGTTGTACCTACAGGAGAAACACGAATCCTCAGTCAGCGCAGAAACCATCAGCGACCACGAAGCTTCAACACCAAACATGGGCAGTGAAGTCTAAAGGGGAGATTAAAACCGTTTGCTGTCGGCTCCGTCACCCCCATCTAATCTAAACTCCTCCCACACCCTCCATCTCCAGTCCCCCTACACACATTCCCCACCTCCAGAAAACACGATCGATACCTAAGCTTTGTGTGGCTTGCCTCAGTATAATTAGGTTCCCCAAATCTGTGTCTGGCCTTTCATCTGCCACCGCTAAGTGACACTGCTTCAATTTTTTGCATGATTGGTCTCAAAATTTGCCCAGCTCCAGATTGTCACCCATGTGCCTGTCACGCAAATGCTTTGATTTATCGCACTAAGAAGGTGCAGATTACAGCAAACCACTGAATGACATTTTACGGAGATTTACAAAAATTCAACAGCCATTTTCCCCAGTACAAAGCCCCCCACTCACTGCTAACTGGTTAGTTCTGGTTCTAGTCTCTGTGAGGACTCCGATTGAGGGGTTCCAGGTGCGGCACCTGGCGTGTTTCCACCAGTTCCCAAAGGCGCACTGTTGGGCGGGTCCGCTAGATTAACGGATGCAGGCCCAAGCTGTTGCAGAGTGCTGACCGCCCAGTCCATACTGTGGTCCAGGCAGTCCAGTCCGGACCACCAGCTGCATCCACCATCATTTGGAGCAGCAAAATGCTCCAATTTACCCTACCACAGCTCCTTCCGGGCATGCCGGCGCTGCGACACACACCACTTGGAAATTTCGATCCCAGGCCAGGAGACAAAAAAAAAAAAAAACACACTTCCAGGTCTGACAGGAGGGAAAAGCCCCCCCCCCCATTTAAAGTCAGCGCTGATATGAGGCATGCTGAATTTCAAACATCCCTGACTGCCAAGCATCTGTTTGGAGATCCCAGATCTGCAAAGACAGACCTGGGGTCAGGCAGTCGGTGCTTTGATGAGGCAGATCAGGCAGCGCAAGGTAAAAGCCCCCCCCCGGCGCGTGCTGGGAAGGAGCTCCTTTAAAGCCTCCCTTTTGGCATTTTACGGCTGCCTCTGATGTGTGCAGACCGGGACGTTTAAGCCAGTGACCCTACAAAGTTGACACGCTCCGACAACATTCCCTTAAGCCGCGGGAGTCCGTCACGTCCAGCGGCCTGGGCAGGCAGCAGGTCCCCGAACACCTGCGCCCCTGCACCTCCTGCCGAGAGCGGGCCTCCATTACATCCTCCTGACTGAGGTCGTCACCCAACCGCGGTCGCTCTAATCAGCTCATTTCTCAGGAGTTGGGAGTGAACCAGATAAGTTAAACTACAGGTAACCCTTCTTCAAACCATCTGGTGTTTTCACACACTGAACTTAGGGTACCTCTGTAATCCACTGCAGAATCACACACCCTCTTTGATGCCTACTGCGAAAGAACCAGTTTGGCTCACCTTTACGTTCCCTAAAAATCTTGTTCTTTCTTCCCTCCAAAGTGGTTAAACATTTGCCCCATATTACAGTTCAACTCGCCAACATGATCAGACAATTCTCTACTTATTCCAGAAAATCAAATAATTCTGATTCTCAGACATATTTGAAAAAAAGTTATGAAAAATGTAAATCCCTTTTTAATGATGTTTCTGACAAGGACGCAGTGCCAGGACTAGAGCAGCTCAGTTTCAGTTCAGCTGGCCCATTATTACCGTACCCTTGGAACTGACATTAGCTCCCTGGCACCGGAGGCCAGCCGCGGATGTATTAAATGACAGCTTCACAATGAAGGATGAGTCAGGCCAATCTTACCCCAACACGATGAGCTCCCCATACTTCACCGGCCCTTTGGTGGAGCCTGTAGAGATGTTCTCCTGGTCAGGAGAGAACATCAGCACGACTAATGTTCAGAAGAACTCCCACGATGAACGCTCTCCAGCTGTTCAAAACCTTCTCATCGTTTCTCCCACAGCCCGGCCGGCGTTGCCCTCTTGTGGACCCTGCACAAAGACGAGGAACGTGAGAGACGTGCTTTCAATACAAATGCTTGCATCTGATCATTTTCGTTTTGACCTGCGTTACACTACAAACGGTTTAAAACACCTTCGCTTCACCATGATGCAATTCAAGACAAACTCATTAGGTGCCCCTTCAAGATCCTGCGTCTGACCAACTGTCTTAGCCTGTCCATCGCTTCATCTTCATCCCAGCACACGATTCTTCTCTCCAAGGCAGAGGGCCGAACCAACAGGCCACCACCATGGATAGCCCCTGGCAACTCCATCCCAAAGAACGTCTACACCGGGTAATCCGAGCAAACAGTCACACTTTGTTCTCTCCTCCCGCCTGCATGCCGCAGATGAAATTTTAATCGGCAAGCCGACGCGCTGCCAGATGACCGGGGCATGTGGGCGTTCCTCTCCATAAGGGCACGAACAAAAGCCGGCGGTGTGTTCACCCAGGCTGTGGCACGGCCGATTATCAGAGGAACCTCATTCAAACCCCAACACATTCAGAGGAAACCTTCAAGGACCACAGGAAACCATATCCATTAAGGCTGGGCGAAGCCATAATGCTTTTTCGTGGTCTCACTGATAGTGATTCAATTTTTAGGTGACTGACTCCACTGGCAGAGAAAACTCCCAGGTCATGTGACCACATTCACATCGCTATGGAATAAAGAGCTTCAGCTCTGCCCGTCTACCTGGCCCTAGACTCCCAAGCCTCTCCATAGAGCACGCCAAACACCAGCATCATGCGACAAGGCTGCTCTCATCAGTCCAGGAGACTAAGGATCACAAAGACATCAGCAACCACCAAGGCTGGAGCCCATGTCTTTGCTGTATGAGTAACCAGCAAAGGTTCCCGTCGTGACACAAACGTTACCAAGCCTACTGATCTGCTGCTGCCCTTTCCGTCATCTTCCGGCGCTTACATGCAGCTAATCCCAAGCCTGAATGATGCGCCACTGACCTCCCTAGGTGATAAATCTACTTACGTGTAGCACTCAGATTCATGCTGGGTACCACATCCACGGATACACTGTAGACAAGCCCCAGGGAGGATCTCACCACCTCTAATCGATTCCCCTCACATAATGGTACGACCCGCGACATGTGGCTTTTTCAGTACACCAGTTCTTTCCATGACCTGGGGCGACCCTTGTCATACAGGATCACAGAGCAGTCACCAGACGGATCGTTCCATCTCGCACAGAGCCCGGGGAGGCGAGGCTTTGTAAAGTTGTGAGATGGTACATCCTCCTTCTGACACCGTGTCACCGCATTTGGCCAGCAGTCACCGCTCTTGGCAGATTTAAGGCTTGGCTTGCACAAGTTACTCCTCGCTGGAGACAGTAAAATTTCACGACCAATTACATATCATGAGGTAACGAAACCATTACAAGCCTGCTTTCCTGAGCACATTTTACCATTGGGGGACGAAACCTCAAGGGCGGGAGGTCAAAACGAAAACGTGGCAATCTGCCACCGTGAGAGATGAACAATACGCCTTACTGGGCAGACAAAGAGAATGGGAGAGACAGGGTGAGACATCTCTGGAATACAGCCCCACACAACTGATCCGCGAAGAGATGATCTTCCTGCTGACAGAGCTGGTCCTCATCTTAAAACTATGGATTTGGAAAATATAACCAATAAAATCCACTACTTAGTGATGCACCAATGCAAAGAATCATCGCCATGACCGATATATTTTTGTCTAATATTACCAGTCGTGATAACCAGTGTCAATCACTGGCTAACGCGAGGTCCACAGATATGCAGTGATTCTGAGGCTTCTTAAGGTGTATAGCGGCCACATCATGTAATGCAGGCAGAGAGACATCAATGAAGTAGCGCCAAGGTGGGACACTTGTGAGGTTGAAGAACCGGATGGAATCAATTGTCCTCCAAGAGAGAAAGGGGCTCATCCAGTGGAATCACCTCCATTTCAGTGGATGTGTCTTCAACTCTGGAACTGTCGTCTTTGAGTATTGACTAAAATCTAAACAAAATCAGCCTTGATATCGATCAAGACACTTTGAATCGATGCCAGTGTCTTGATTTTTATCAAACAAAATTGGTTGATACCAATGTATATTAAATATTTAATATATGTTGTGCATTTCTAATATTTCTCATAGCAGAAGAAGAGCACTGCGACTCAGTGGGGTGCCATGTAGACCCCAAGACTAGGGTAATGTGGAGAGCTGGCCATCAACTCGACCTGAGACACCATACGTGCCAACAGCAGACGGACAGACAGGCCACCTTGGCCGAAACCCAGACCCAACAGGCGAGGCAGTCTTCAGCTCGTCTGCTACTTTAAGGTTCACAAATCTCCCGGGTTTGATGCACAGCAGGAACAGCATGAGATGGATGGTGAGTTTACTAAACCAACGACATTTGTTTTCTTAAGGACGGATAAGAGGTTTCACTCCATTAGACACCCACCATGTCTCAGGACAGAACATCTGGGATAAGCCTCATGCAAATTCAATTTTCAATGTTGCGACATCGATATCTGATGGCCTTTACACAGCCCCCGCTACCAGCAGTGGGGTTTAATGTCCAAGCGTGCAACTTTAATGTAGCACTCCCGTCACAATGCGATGTGCGTGGCACCCGGTGCTGTACAGCAAGCTTAGCCCTTTGAATGGGACCTCACCTCCCAGGTCTGTCCTCATATGAAGAAAATGAGTCACAGCTATGAGCTTCATCATGAGATAAAAACTGAAAAAGCTGCTATCCAGGAAGTCCCACTACTAACCTCAAAGTAAGGTCTCTTTACTTATTTATTAGGTGGCTTGAGTTCATATGTCACATGACCTATTTACAGCACTAGACACTGACAGAACCACTTAGCTTATATGTTCAGGGCTTAAGAGAAATTTATCGGTAACTAATTACATTTCGTCACCAATGCCCCTCTCCTCCACACAAGTCTGGCTTCTGTTACGACTCTGATGGCAGCTTCTGACATTACGGCGCTCAGGAACGGACGCGGCCCCCAGATCATGGGCGTTAGGAAAGTGGATGCCAACTGACGGAGTGGCCTCAGGAAAGCTGAGATGACGTCTCCCCACTCTCTCCAGGTTATTCCTGGAGGCACCACGGTCCTGGAACCTGGACATCTGGGCCACCCCACCCTATCAAGCCCGTTCCAACCCAAAAGTGAGTCACCCAAGCAGGCTGCACCTATCCCTTTGCCGGTGCATCCCCCCGGCTCCCGCCCCCACAACCTCGAACCCTTCCGGCCGCCGCCCCCTTCCCAAGACCTCTCTTCCTCTCCAGGCTGTTTTTGTTTGTTCGCGCATGGGATAGGAACCAACATAGCAATTCCTGGAACAGGTCGTGACAAAAGCCAGCAGGACTAGACTCACCCATCCAACAGTCTACTGTTTACCCCAAAACAAAACCGAGGGATCTGGAATAGAGAGCCAACACTACATTCCATCGCAAGACAACCACATATGGAGTGCAGACATACTCCCGAGACTGCACCAGGAAACGACATTGCTCCAACAACAGGCATCATACCTACAGTCCGTGAACTAGCTTGTGAACATACATGACTCACAGAATGGTCTCGGAGAAAAAGGAGTATACTTCTCCGCAGAAGTCAAGCTCTGGGATAAACGTGGGCTAAATATTCCTGCTAAAGTTGAAATGCTATAGTGCTCTTTCGTCTTCTCTAGATGACATCAACAGCAGAATGTTTCTCTCACAATGCTTCTATGACAGACGACTGAAGCAGACCAAAGGGCTGGTCAGAAAGTGAGTGTTGCACACTTTTGCTCCCCATTGTAAAAAAAAAAAAAAACAAGCTGAACATGATTGAATGAGCAGGCTAGGGTGAGGTTTCACATTTTCCCATCAGACCCCCAAACACAGAATTGATCTGAAGAAGCAGATAAGATCAAGAGCGTGACCTGATTAGAGGCCAATCAGCACTGTGCATCTCTACATTAGATCAAAAAAAAACTTCTTTTCCAATCAATTTTCTTTGATTAACTTTTGTTCTCAAAGACAAAGGGTTTAAACGCTCGGTACTTAGCATTGTAAAGATATATAGGGAAAAACCCCAATGATGGAACAAGTTTAGAAAGTCAGTTGTGGGGAGTTTTCCCTCAGTTGGGTACTCTAGATGGAAATAAGAACATGAAGAGCGAGAACCTGCCCCCTTTTAACAGTGAGGAAACACCCGAAGGAGCCAAAGGCCCAGGCTGAGAGCTGCGGGTAGAAACCGTTTAAGAAGGTTCTGAAGGAAAACCACTAGCCAGCCACCTCTAACCATCCTTTCATGGGCTCAGGCTTCAGGAAAAGGCCGTAAATCTAGCGCCAGCCCGACGGAGGGAGCTGTACAGCCCCCCGAGGCGATTCGCTGGAAAAAAGGGACCCGCACCAAGGATTAAAGCCACTTGTGTTAAGTGAAAGAACACTTGACGTTCTGGGCAGGGTCTCTCACAAACGTCACCTCCAAATGCACCCGGTTAACACTAGAAGACGCCTGATTAAAAAATAAATAAAAATTAGATATAGATATATAAAAAATAAAAAACAAAAGCCCAGAAAAGCTTGTGGTGCATGCCACAGCTCAGAGGGCTAGATCTGGCACTCACCACATTCTAGACTTCAAGAAGATACTGCGTGCTGTGAAATACACAAGGATGTAGGAACCAGTCCTAGGGAACACCCTTTGGAATGATGAGTGGGCAAAGTGAGCCGTCTCATGCAGGATAAATCTGATCAATGCCAAGCTCTGCTGTGACCAGCATGTCTGTGAGATGCGTCACGGTCCCCTAAAGGTGGACAGGTTCTTTCGTGATGTAGGCCTAGGGATCAAAGAACAACCAGGAAATGATTCTCTATCATGGGATTCCAAATAATTCGACCGTTTAGACCCTGTGGTGACCTCCTGTAACGTGCATATGGCAAATATGTTTGACGCCCTGGTTCAAAAAAATACAGACCAACAAGAACAATCCGGAACTGGCTGG